CTTCGGCTCTGCAACTCACCCGTCTACGATGAATAAAGGGTGTTGCAGCACAACGTGTGTTGCGGGCTCTTGATTTCATTACACCTTTTTTTAATTCAAAAAATGTATCGTCTGTAACCTGTTTCATACACCTCCTGGAGGTAATTATTTATCCTGCGATAACTATTATCTCGAGATATATATGACTAGATTACCAATACCGACCCCGCAAATGAAGCGTAAAGAAAGAAGGGATGATGTTGGCGCGCCTATCTCTCGACTTTTCTTATATGACTAGCATTGCTAATGTAGTCGCACAGTATTTATAATAAATTTCTTGCTGCAATTCAATTGCCAGCTACAATAGTACTTATTCTGCAAAATGAAAAATCATTAAATGATTATTTTATATTATACTAATTACTGTAAATGAAGTTTTAACAGTTAGGGTAGTACAAACTACTTTAATCATGTGACACGAATTCATCAGTGCCCAGAGAGGAAACAACCAAACCTCGAACATAACCTCTTAAGACAATTTGAAGCATATTTTGTCCAATAATCACTTCGAGATTTTGAATGACCGAGCTACAATAAGCACTCAAAAATGTGTTAGAAAAAATAGTTTCTATGCAAAAATTTGCATTTCAGAAACATATAAACACTCTAGAAATATGTGAACTGTATATTATTTACAAAATAAATTAATATATTTGATCAAAAAGAAAAATTATCACAAGGAAAGCAATTAAATTGTGCAATTTGGGTAACACATCCCGTATATACGGACGACCGACGCGACAGATCGCATTTTCGATGTCAATCCAGTAGAAATGTTTTCTTCTTGGGACGTATTTCAAGGAATTTAGTGACCACCAACCAGTGATGGCAGAAGCAGAAGCTAATATAATTAGTCGTACTAAGGCAAAAGAAATGATAGTCTGCCAACATAGAAAAGCTAATTTCGAGGGATTGCATGGATTCTTAAGAGAAAAATACGGGTACTTTTCGAGAACAAGAGGTGGTATGGAGGAACAGTGAGGAGCGTTTAAAACAATCATAGAAACTACTTTAAATATGTTTGATTCTTGCAAAATACTGAAAATTCGTATCCTGAATATTTCAACGGGGTGATTCGGCATTTAAAGAGAAAAGCGAGACTAGCATTTAATAGGAGACACCGCAGCATTGTTGACATAATAACTTTTAAAAATTACTATGGGGATTTATAAAAAGGAAAGGTAATTGCACAAGAATTATTTTTAACAAATATATTAGAGGTAGGAAAAAATTAATGAGAGGCTTTTATAAGTATGTCCGCAGACGCAGAGGGAATAAAGCAGAAATTCAAAAAACATTGAGTCTCAGGAAACGCTCACTGTAGCCCAGCAAAGGCACATGCGTTCAACACGTATTTTATATCGGTATTCAAATCAAAATGGGTACAGAAGCAAGTTACTTATTTTCCAATTGAAAACCAGTTCAAGCTTCATGCATGGGAGTAAAAAGGCATTTGAAACAACGGAGTCTGGAACAGCATCAAAGAAGTACCTAGAAAACTCAAATCTATTTCCGAACACAGATTAGAATTATATCATAATATTTAATTCCAAAATGAAAGAACTCAACAGGAAGAAAATAAATTTATATGTTGTGGTTCTTAAAAACAGGGAACGCCTCCGCAGTCCTGAAGACAAGGCGAGGAAAATTTAGGTAGTTCACGCAAGACAAACTACAGTTACACACACATTTACGTACATACATTGACATATTTACAAACAAAAAATAGAACAGTTAACATGAGTGACGTTTTGTAAATACGTAATAAGCAATTTTTACCTTTAATTCTGGAGTCATTATAGTCTGTTTTACTAAGGGTCGTTTACGGATACTTCTGAGATAAAAATAACTATGTTTAATTTTTTTCATTAATACAAGTACCTGTTTAACGTGTGCGTGCTTAGAATATTTTTAGATTCATTATTATTTTGATGTATTCAAAATTTTCTTGACATTTTTAGTGACTACATTCCCCACTAAAAGAAATGTTTCACGAGTTGTTGTAAATGTAGTAAAAATCAAATAGTGAGTTTAGAACTTTAACTATTAGCTTTCGTCATTAAACTTCGAAGGTTCATATTTCTAAAAAATTTATAGCGGCTTCCAACTCACAAAATGAGATATTTAATGGATAACGTTAACCCCATTCTTAATATATAAGATGCCCAGATTTTTGGCTGTCGTGCCCTGCCCTGCCATTTCTCCCTGCCAAGCCATTGTATTCCGAGGTCTAGGAGAAACTTTGACACCTTAGCACTGATTTTCACTTGATACTGTAGTTATTTTAGAAGCAATTATTTTGAAGTGGTACTAGTGAATGTTAACCGGGTAAATTCAACTAAAGCCACTCTTAAATCGCAATAGTAAGCTCTCGTTAAACAATGCCATCACCATCTATAAATCAATAATTAGACCCCTAATGCTTTATGGATGCCCTATCTGGATCAATGCCTATAAAACTAATATCAATAAATTACAGATCATCCAAAATAATTTCCTCAGACTTGTCACTCATGCACCCTGGTTCATCTCAAACATTCAACTGCACAAAGAATTTAATTTAACTCCTATAGTTTACCATATTGCGCTATTATCTAACAATTTCTTCTCCAAAATAAACCCAAGCCACCCATTACGACCTAGCCACCACTTACCAGCTCCCAACTAAAATAAAAAATAGATATCCATTAGACTCATTCCTCAGCACATTTTCAGAACTCAATCATATAGGTGCTCTGTGAGTTTCCTATTCATGTGCAGTTAGATTTAGTTGTAAGATTAGCATTTAAGTTAAATATAAGTCATAAATACATATGATGTAGTATAAATAATGCTGAACTATGTACATCCGTTCACTAATAAAGATATATTAAACCATTAAACCATAAATTGAGATTATTTTCGTTTTTTGAATGAGAAATCGACAACAAATGTTACTTAGGGAATTACTAGCATTTCCAAAATATAAATTAATCTTCGTAATGTCTTCATTTCAAATTTCAGTTTTCCGTTTAGCCTGTAGAACCTCCAACAGCAGCAGAGTTGCAAAGGCGTCGCGGGAAGGAGGAGTCGGTTGCTGGGCCTCGAGCCGTCGCTTGCGAGAACGCAATTGCGCAGAAGGAATTTATTGCCCGCCGCGCGCAGCGTTGCTCCGCGCAAGGGGCCGGAGCGGGGCCGGAGCGGGGCCGGAGCGGGGCCGGAGCGGGGCCGGAGCGGGGCCGGGGGTGGACTCGGCCAACTGCGGCGGCGGTGGCAGGAGCTTCGCAGTCGCTGCGCGATGAAACATCGCTTTTACGACGGCGGCCGCCGCGACGCAACGAGACGCGACGGCAGCGCGGCGGAGGGAAAAGCGCGAGTGTATCCAAAAGATCCGCCGGGATTGGCCGCAGCCAGTGCCAACGCGGGTAAGCCAACTGCCGGACCGCGCTTGCTTTCGCGCATTTGAGAGGTCGCCGTCGCAAAGAATGACCGAATGCGCGTTTGGCTCTCAACAAGTTCATACCACTCAACACTCGTAGCGAGAGCTCAACATTGCGACATGCGAGCACAGAAATAGATCTCTCTAGATTCTAGAACATGAGCACTCATTCGGATAAGAATCATTTAGTAGAAATTGCTGGACACCAGCAACTCTAAGTAAAACACCTTTTCTTCCTATCACGTTTACTTTCAGAACCACAAATTGTCTATATCACAATTAAACCTCTTTGAAACTATATATCAGCGTAATTGACGTCCTACACGCCGACAAATAGGGTAAGACAAATTTCTATTGTTTCCGAGGATTTTGAGGAATGGGACTAACCCTCTGTACCCGGCTGACTCAGTCTGATAATAAAATGAATATTTTTTACCAGAACAAATTTTTAACAAAATTCAGCCATAGTTATAATTATCATACTGAAAATTCTGTATTTACTCCGAGAAGCTCTGAAGATGATCAGCGTTCCGCTTAAAGTATTAAATTCATTACAAAACTCAGGTCGTATGAATGCAAATTGTTAGCATTCATTATTGAGTGCATTAATTATGAGAAAACGAATGGATCATATTCAATTTCTGTTCTTACAAAATTCTTCAAGCATGGGCTACTAAGTATACTTAGTCATTAAGCATTTACATTTTATGATTTTATTTTACACAAATATAATGAAAATTTAATTGTTTTTCCTAATGATATTTTTGTTAGATGAAGTTGCTGTTCATGTAACGGTGTGTTTATATTAAAGTAAATAATTTTTTACTGCATTACTTTAATTTATTTTTTAACTTATATACGATTTAAATTTTGTTCATAGAAAATAAAGGAAAAAAGTCTACATAAACGTCAAGTAAATGCATTGATTCATTTAAATGTTTATCATTTACATATTGTGGCGGTTGCACGAATTATGTCTGTTTGTAAACGACACTTGCCTTCACAGAATCCGTAATCTCGTGTTCCCCATGTGTCCATAGTACTCGATCAGTGTCGCTGTCGACTACATAGTCATGTGCCTACACGCAAACATCTCTTGCGGTCAGTCTATCTCCAGCGAATCCTCGGCAGACTGCACACACCATCTGCTCGACGCGATGTGTCGCTTGTTTAGCGTAAAATGTTTGGCGTGGGTGGCGTTCAGCAGCGCACCCCTCCCGGTGGCATCACACGTCAGTGGGCAGAACGTAATGGCGGAGGCGAAAGGGCGGGGATCGGGGATCGGAGAAGGCGAGCACGGAGATGAGATATCAACGGGGCCCGAGACGTGCGCAGGAAGACAGCGACCGCAGTGGAGCTGAGGGTAAATTTTGCGTGTGACCGCTCCGCAGAGCCTTCGGAAGTACGGGCCGGCCAGAGTGGGGGTGGGCTCGTTTGGTACGCGGGAGCGACGCGCGAGAGCACCCTTGGTCGGACGCGGGCCGGGACATCCCTGTTGCACCACGCTAAGAGCGGAGCTTACCGCCCCTGCTTATGAGCGGGCTTAGCTCGGCGCGAGCGCGTCAGGCCGGCGCGGCGCGCCACGTGGCCCCAGGGCGGGCGACGGCCTGGCCGCCGCGCTTCTTGCGTCAACGCGCGCCGCCGCGCCGCCCGCCCAGTGCAGCGCCCGCGCGCGGCGCCTGATTACGCGGCTGTTGACTTGGCGACGCAGGGCGGGTGGCGGGTGGCGGCCACCGCGGCACGCGCCTTGGCCGGGGGCGACGCCGCAGGTGCGCGGACGCCGCCAGAAGGACGCGCAGAGCCCTCGAGAGGGCGCAGAGTGCTCTTGGGCGACTGTTGACCGTCCAACGCAAACGCAGGGGATGCGGGCGCCACCTGGACCTACAGGAGTTCGTGGAGGACTCTGGAGGGACTTGGAGGGTTTGCGCACGCGGTAGAACTCCTTGCTTGCACTGAGTAAGATGCACTGTTTCCTGTGACATATTTATTCATTTTGTGATAAGCGAATTACCCTTCTCTTCCTCTATATTTTTTTTTCTCACAGACCTTCATTTTGTAGTATACTCTCACTATGTCAGAGAATTAAATAAATTAAAAATTTCAGGATGATGTCTCTTACAACAGAACGTGTTCTCTTACTCGATATTCCCTCAATCAAGCTGCAAAACGTGCTATTTAATTATACCTAAAAATGTTTTCACATCATTATCATAAAGGTCTTGATTTCTTGCACTCAATGCAGATCATCACAGAATCAAAACTGCTCCATTCATTCGAAAATAAGCATAAACATCTATAACAATCCTGCGAATACAACAACAAAACGCGCGATATATTCTCGGACGTAGGGCACGTGACCTCGGGGGAGTTATTAATTAGATTAGCGGCGGCGCTGCGCCGATGGCCGAGGGGCAGAGCGGCTAACCCGCAAAACAATCCGCGCGCGCCGTCCGCGATTGCGCTCGCCAGAATCCCGGCTGATTCGGCGCAATTAAAAACCGCGTAAATACCGGTTTGCGCTAACGGCGTCGTAAACTGCACCGCGCGCGGCACGCGGGCTGGCGGGGCAAAGGGGGTGAGGCGGGTACTGATGGGAGTGAAGGTGGGCAGGCAGCGAGCTCGCTGAAGGTGGTGGGGCGGTAGGCTGAGCGAATGGGGGCGGGCGGGAGGCGGGGCGAAAATTAGCCGCCGGATAATGATTCGACTTGCAAACGGCTCTGTGGCTTTTACGCCGCTAAAGGTGGACTTCTATGTTTGCGTTGTGACTACCAACACAGCTCTGAACATATAGGCTTTGATGAATCACCTGCGCACTCTCTTCAACAAAGGATGAGCTATACAATCACTCATTCACTTATCGTAGTGAATTGAAACCTAATTCCAATGCCAATTTTGATTGCTTAAACATTTCAAACAAATACCTAATGTTACTGTTCGTAAACCCTACAAGGAAACTATATGCAATGGACAGGCACATCAACTATCATTTAGTATTTAAAAACGAATATGAACGAAATAAACTAAAATAAACATTTACCTAATGTAATAAAATAATGAAACATTAACGACGTGTTTTATTGTTACGAATTTTACTTAATTCTAAATACTTATTAGTTGAAAATATCTTTGAATCGAAGCTAGAAGTAAAAATTCACATGTGTACTTTTAAATTTTAGTTTACGGAAATAGATAGAGAGTAATGTCATAGCTATCTTTTTGTTAATTCCACCATTTTTTAACATGTTTCTATTCTTAAAACATCGATCAAGAAATACGTCAAGTCTACGAATATGCTCTCGTGTATGCTCTACAACTTCATCTGAAGCGTACGTTGAGATGCATATCAAACATTGTATCACTTATAGAGTGGCAGACGCAATGGTGATGTTGCGTAGTGCATAAAGTTATGAAATTGCCAAACATTGCGATGCAAATTGACTGAAATAAAACTTATTAACCTTCATACTCATTCATTTGTCTCTTGGTGCAGTCGAAAAATCGCATCCAAATTAAAGAAAAATGTAGACATTTAAACGATTCACGAGCGAAATCTCTCATACAACTAAATTCATTTCATTCTTCTTCCCCTGTGTCGAGAGTAAACCCTCGCTAAAATATACGCAGGGGGGACGCGGGGTGACGTATGGAAACGTCACGGCTGACGTCATTTCCGGGAGAGGAGCAGCGGCACGTGACCGGGCGGCGCTCGAGCCGTCGCCTGCGCCTCCGCCGGCGCTTCATCAAGCGCTGGGGCGGAGCGGCTGCGGCCTCGAGGGCGCAGGCGGAAGGAGCGCACTCGGATCCACAACGGCCGGGCTGCCATGTTGCTGAAGAGAATTAGAACTGAAGTGGGGTGGGGTGGTGCGGTGCGGTGCGGTAGGGTTTGATAAGTGAAACAGCGCTAATGCATTTTTTGATTCTTGCATCGTGATAGCTGCATTAGAAACGAATTCCAGTACGTAGTCTTGAACAAAAGAGACGCAACGGCAGCGCAAACGAGCATTGAGTAGAAAACGCACCGCGAGAAAGTGTCATCAACAGTCTGTGGACATCGAAAGGCACATGTCTTTGGCAGCGGGCGGAGGGCGGGGGGCGGGGGGCGTGATGCATGTGGCGCGGAGGCAAAGGGCAGGCCGCGGAATCTCTCGAAAATCTGGCGGAATCCGCGGCCGCGGCCCGGAGCGCTCGCGGAACAAGTAGATAAGACGCCGCCGCCGCCGCCGCCGCCGCCCCCTGCGCCCGCGCCGATCGATGGAACTGCGCCCGCCGGCGCCGCCATTGCGGGGAACGCCTCGGTGCGCTCCCAAGCAACTCTCGCGCCCCGCCAACAACTTGCCAAGACAATTCAGGTATACTCAACACGAGTTGGCCCGCATGATCGTCGGTGTCATTCATATCAATTGATGATCACTATTGTAAATGTTGTGTGACAGAGTTTTCACTTTAAACGCTTTCATTATCCTTTTGCATAGATATTTAACCAAATAATATATAATATATAAATATATTATTAATAAAAAAATGGCTTTTCAAAAAGAATCATGCACGCTGCTAAAGAATAACAAATGAAATAATGTCGTTTAACACTACAATATATATAATATTTTAACATAAAAAGCATTCAAGAATACTAGGAAAATATAGTATAGTGTCTAAACAGGCAACAGTTCTTTACATAAAAATATTTTATAATATTACTCTTCCATAACGTAAAGCTTAAATAGCTAACATTCACTGGCGAATGGCCTCTTCCTTGGAGTCTTGCTGTATAAAGACATCAACTGTGTCGAAAGGTGTGACGCACAGTGTAAAAGTTGAGTCCATACGTGCAGTATGAGAATATTGTGCAGTATGAGTAGTATCAGAGTATACGTGCAGTATGAGAACACCACAACATATTTGCAATTTACGTCAAAATCTAAACTTCTCGATTATATTTGGTATTTTCGTCAAGTTTCTTGTACTTTTAACAAACCATAAGACATATTACATCGTGGAACGCAGAATACTTTTAGTTTCAATTTCTGCACACATTGGATATTATGAGGATTACAATGACTCGATTTTATACACAAATTGTTACTAAAATCAAATCAATAATAATCGTATTTTCAACACAGATAATTAAAGAGAAAGGTGATGCTCCCAAAAAATAATAATTCTTCAAGATATTCATCTTGAATGGAAAGGAGCATGTTATAAATATAAAAGAGGATGTAAGAAAAAAGAATTTGAATAAAAAGAGAGGAAACAGTACTAAATAGTGAGTTCTTACCAATGTTTACAAACTTTCTTGAAATTGCAAATTGGAGCAGGAGATTGCGGCAGATCTCTTGTCGTCCAACTGAACATCATTTCCTGTAAAACAATAATGGTCATATAATTCTAATAGGAGAACTAATCATAAACGAAATAGCTGTCACATAGAAAGCAAAATGAATTATATTTCAGGTCCTCAGATCATGTCAGACTGATTCTGCAAACTCCAATTTTCAGATTCATTCAACAAACATCAAACGTAATCTTTCCACTCATATACAAAAAAAGGGGGGAAAACATCTATGAACACAATATGCTCACACAGGAATAAGTTAATTGAAGAAGAAATTACCTAATTCTCCCCCGCCTCTTTCCCGTCATGAATGCTTAACGAAGCCATAAATCCCTCCAACTCTCGCCTGTTTCTCAGCCCGCGCGCGCGTAAATAGCGCGCCCGGCGCCATTCGGGGGAGGGGCGTCGCACTGCGTGCGCGGCGGAGCCGTCGTTTGTTCGGCGAAAGACAACACGAGAGCGAGGCGAGCGCCCTTCGCGCGCTCCCATCTGCGCGGAATCCGTTTTATGGGCGCACGCGCGCGCCGCCGCCGCCGCCGCATCCGCCTTCAATGAGATGTGAAGGTGGGGACTATTTTCATGAGGCGGAGTGATTTAAAGATGTATAAAAAGGAGCCCCCGAATCGGAAGGCGTGGGCGTGGGCGCGGGCGCGGGCGACGCCGCTGGGGCGCCCGAGGGGGCGAGCGGGCGGCGACTGTTTATGTAGGAGCTCGGATGCTGCCGTGGGAAGGGCGCAAGGTAAAGGGAAGGTGCTTATACGGACGGAGAAAGAAGTGAGGCGTGGAAGGAGAAGGAAAAGTCAGTATGGTTCCAGGAAAGTAAGAGATACTCGTATCTAGAAGACCGATGGATAGAAAGAATCGTGGGAAATGTTGTCTGAGAGTAGATCAGTTACAACACATGGGAGAGAGTGCAGATTGACCCAGGATGCAGTTGTGGAGAGGTGTGCGTACGTACGATGTATGTCGTATATGCATACGTACGTACGTCGTATATGCAGAGATGATGAAATGCAAAGCAGCACACTCGAATAAATGCTTCAAGAGTAGTAAATAGTTTGCAAACAGAGAAATCAGTGATTGCCAGTAGAAGAGATTGTGAGGAATGAGCCAATGGCAAGAGGGGGGAGTACAAGGAGAGACGCCGTGATAGGGGCCGGAGAAATGCACACAACAGACGCTCCCCACGAGTTCCCATTACGCAGAAAAGAAGGCAAGATGTTTATGTGACGGCCGCGGCGGCGGCGGCGGCAGAGGTTTAAGAGCCCCGCGACGCGCCGGGCGAGGGGAGCGGAGGGCGGAGGGCGAAGGAGGAACGGCATCAGACGAGCGAAGCAGGTGAGAAGTAGAGCTGGACTTGAAGGGAAAGCAAAAAGTATAATCGCAGTAAACATGCAAAGAACCTCAAAGACTTACGAATTCGACGACAGAAAACAGTCGAGATGACAAAAACAGGCAATACAGTCGTCAAGAAAAGGTACAATTTTAAACAAATTTGAATGAAAGATATTCCACATTCTTTCATCACTTTAATACAACTTTAATGAGTAAAGCGAGTTTACCCGTGACATCTACGTAACCGCACAAAAGGAAAACCTTTCCCAAATGAACTTTTAAAATATAACGTTAATAACTTCACTATATGAACTCATTATTCGAAAAGTAACATTGCAAAAATTAAAAATAAAGTATTTTGTGTCAAACTGTAGCATATCTAAAACAAAGAATGTATTCTTTTCAATAAAAAAAACTAACTGAAAAATAATTATATGGGCAAAACGTCCATCTCCCATTCTCTGTCTAGTAGTCTGCTCCACCTAAATTGATAGAAGAATGGTTGTTTGCACCAATGTATAAACTTCGTACGTTCTAGGAAATACATCGAATTTTACTTTATTTCAATTTGTTAATATTTAAAATGTCACTATGTTGCAATTTTACAATCCCTTCTAAAGTTGTGAATTGTACATTCTCCAAAACTCGAGTTGAATTCATTTTAATTGAGGTGCAACGTGAAAGAATATTGAAGCGAACGCTACCTGTTGTGTCGTTCTGCTTCTTTATAAGAAGTCTTCTCTATTCTTGGAAGAAGAAATGAAGGTCCGAAATGTAATATATATTATATCAATTAATTAAACACTTACATAAAATTAACCTTAAGAATTGACTGAGAGTCGATTCACTTATCCCTATTTCGCTTGTTTTGTTATTTATTGTTCCCTGGCAACGCGTCACCATAACAAGTTTGGTTTGGACATCTTAAAGATACGAGTATCGCTTTTCTACTACGACGTTATAACTAGGGGGCGGAAATGTCATTTTTTTGTTTTTCACTTTTGCATAATTATTTTTAGTATACACATTATTTTTGTTATATGACAAAAGGAAATTATCTATTTATATGCGACTTTTATTCATTTTTCATCGATTTCGACTAAAAATACATTTTTTACGTTTTCCTGCATGTGTTTGTGATTTCTTCCATTTTAATATCATTTTATGGTACTTTCTTCAAATAACATTTACGAGATGCAACAAATGTTCTCCGCAATTGCAATAGCAGCCATTGTCAGTTTGTAATCTAAGCTTTCCTCTCAGCGTCATTGTCTGTTCGGCCGATTTGGAGATAACTAAAGTCAGATTTTTGCTAGAAAACAATCCAAATCAAAAGTTTGCAAGCCAAATTTATTTCAAGGAAAGGAAAAAGCCATAACATCAGTAATATATCCAACAGCGTGAATTATCTGAACTGGTTTTGATCAAATATTTATGTCATTTTTCTCTGCTTTTCAAGAATTTTTAGGACATTTTAAGAGTACTTCATTGATACTTTTGTCGATGTTTTAGGTCACCAAAATCTGCCCCCCAGTTATAACTAACGAATCTGCCCCCCAGTTATAACTATCATTTAAACGTTTATCAAGGCAGATTATATGTCGATCTTTTCATGTAAGATTTCTAATTCTTTTATTTTTACCGTGAACGTTATAGTTAAGATAGTAACGCTACTCGATTGGTTCAAACAATCGAAAAGGGTAATAATGATATCATTATGACAACTATATTACAATAAGACCATTAGAACACTAGTGATACAACTTAAAATGAAACCTCTATTAGCATATATACGCGTGCACTAATCAGACATTATTGCTTCTACTTAGATGAAAGTTATAATATAGTACATATTACACAAGAAACCCATAACTTAAAAAAAAGAATAAATGTACTGAAACGAAACGTACAGAAAAATGCATCTGCCAATGTAGACGTTCATGAACTGTCCCTACCGAAATGGAGAGTAGATACGGTAGGCTGCAGCATTCATCAGGGAGACAAGATTGAAATTAGTTTCCAAGCTGTGAGGAACGGCATCGGCGATTCATCTAACTTCGCTAATTTCCAACTTAGGCAATTAAGAAGTTTTTATCAAAGGGAAAGGCTCCGCAGAACTCCGGGAGCCCACGTAATCGCAGCCCGGAAAATATATGCGAAGCGCGCGCCTTTCTCCCTTGCACTTTCGAAGTCCTTCCGTGACTTCTTTGAGGGGAAAAGGGCACTTTCGTTATCACTCGTCATATCGAAGAGGTCAAATATCTCTATACAATACTTGATACAATAAATGATCCCTTCTACATATCAACTTTCTCAAGCTTCTCTCTTTAGAATAACATTATATCATTCCACAGTACTGCAAATGTTCAGCAAATTTCAAGTGAAATGTAATTTATATTTTTTCGTACTATTAAAATAAATATGATTCTACAAAATTTCTTTGAAACAGGCACAAATAAATGTTTCTGCCAGGCCAATTTTCATATATTATTGAGCAATCCCAACACTCTTCAACTTTGGTCGCATCCCTTAATTTATTTGAAATGGTTTCAGATGCATTGCTGAGGCTGCTCGGCACGAAAGCTATGATGGATAGTTGAAATCTTACTTACGGAAGAGAAGTTTTCACTTTTTGAATTTTATGCACAACATCAGACCATCACAATGTTATAACATCCCTACCCACTTCCTTTAATTCATAACTGAACATAATAGCCAAACACGAAGCGACTGCTAGCTTGATTTCTTAGGCGTTTGCCTTCCGCTGAGAATAGGACGTCAAATATTGCAATTTTGGAGAAATATTTCGAAAATGATTGTCCACAGAGGAGCAGGGGAAACAATTTCCAACTTAGGCAATTAAGTTGATTAAGAGCAGATTAATAAATTAAGAGCAGGGGAAACAATGGAAATTCCATTGAACCTATGAGAGAGGACTCCACAAGAGACACTGACCAGGGATCAATGTGTTTATGCCTTGGAAAATGTTTGTCGAGGTGATTTTGACACTACACCGAAGAAAGCCAGAAATTTCTTTATCAACCGTCATTGATTAAACAGTTATTATGCTTACAACGCTAAAAACCTAGACCGAAAACTGACTTTGACAATTTGAAACAAGAGGAGACCACGTAACGCCATTATGCACAGTATGACTATCTCCTGTTCTCCCGAGAGAACTCTGTTCTCCGAATGCGAGGTTCAAGAGGGGACAAAAGCTGCACCTTGCGAAGCCCGGCGCACGCATGCCTGGACTACTTGTCGGGTCCGCGAACTGCGCCGCGGTGCAGCGGCTGCACGTGCATCGAGGCGGCTGCGGAGACGGATGGGGCCGATTGCTCACGCGCCGGAGCGCGGCCCGGGAGGGGGCGAGGGCGGCGGCGGCGGCGGCGGTAAGCCCCGGGGCGCCGCGCCGCGCGCTGCGAGGACGTTATTTATGCGCGCGAGGCGGTAAGGAGACGCGGATATCAGCGTCCCGTGCCCGTCCCGCCGCCCGCGCCGCGCCGCCCGCCCGACCGCCCGGCGCGACTGCTGACTCCGAATAAATCAGTTCCTGAAGAAGCGGGGGCGGGGTAGCTCAGGCCGCAGCGCCACGGGCCGGGTCACAGGCCGACTGAAAAGGAGCAGATCGCTGGCGCTCGGGCATGATCCCGACATCTTCGATAACACTGTGGTTACGTTTTTAGCATTCTTAAACATACTGCTTTTTTTA